TGCCAGTTTTTAAGCACTTTGCCAGCAGCTGGTGGTCCCTCCTTTTCTGAGAGGGGTGTGGAGGTTAAGGGGGTGGTTTTGAGGGAATGGGGCAAGGAAAGAAGTTGCTAGAAGTGTATGGCGTTCTCACGGGTGCCAGTTTTTAAGCACTTTGCCAGCAGCTGGTGGTCCCTCCTTTTCTGAGAGGGGTGTGGGGGTTAAGGGGGTGGTTTTGAGGGAATGGGGCAAGGAAAGAAGTTGCTAGAAGTGTATGGCGTTCTCACGCTTTCCTGCAAGGAAAGCAGAGTTCATGGTGCGGACAGGTGCAGCTGGCCCCAGGGAGGGTGAACACAGGTGGAGCTGCCTGCTGGACTCCCCAGAACCTTGCATGTGTCTTGCTGTGAGCTCATATCTTTAGTTTTAAGCCTCTGAATTCTGGGTTATGGGCTGGTGGCCCTGGTGAAGACTGGGGATGTGTGGGACCTGGGCCACCAGCTGCAGAGCAGGGCCAAGCCCAGTGTAGCCCTATTCTCCCTGGCCCAGCTCTGCCTCCTGCCATGCTGGAAGGAGTCAGATCCTACAGGCATTGTCTTCACAGCTCTGTTCTCTGTCCCCTCTTCTGGGTGCTCTATCTTGTGTTGTGGGTTAAGGATCCAGACAGGCCATGTCCTTTGTAGCCATCCTGGGTGAATGTGTTTGGGACCCAGGACGAGTTGTGGGGGACATTGGGGAGGGTCCCTATATCTGGCGTCTCAGAGGCCTTGGTTTAGACAAGGCTGGCTGATGCAGAGTTAGCTGATAGAGTTCGGATGTTATTGTTCCCCCAGACCTCATGTGGAAGTTTGATCCCCAGTGTGGCAGTGTTGGAAGCTGTTTGAGTCACGGGGGTGGATCCCTCATGAATGGATTAGTGCTCTCCCTGGGGAAGGGGGGATTAATGAGTGAGTTCTCGCTCTATTCCCACGAGAGCTGGTTGTTTAAAAGACCTTGGCACCTCCTCCCTCCCTCCCTCCCCTCCTCCTCTCACCATGTGATCTGCTTGTACCCGCTGGCAGCCTGAGGCCTGTGCCAGATGCAGCTGTCCCAGAATCGTAAGCCAAATAAACCTCTGATCTTTATAAATTACCCGGTCTCAGGTATTTGTTATAGCTACACAGCTTGATACAGCTAGGTTTTGCTGTATCAAGACAAAATAACTTCACAAAGAAATGAAACTAGCCGAAGCTTTTTCTTGTTAGTTTCCTGTCTGGGGGAGGCATGCTGCCGACGTCTTGCCTGGCTGGAGGCAGGTCGGCTGCTGTCCCTGGCAGGGCTGCCCTTCCTGCGCCAGGGCTGCTGCAGGTCTGTGCCCTCCCTATGCCTTTCGCCGGTGGCCTGGGGCACGTTCCTGTTGTACACACAGGGCTGGACTCATCTCTCTCCCTTCCTACCAGTGCCACAACCTGGTCTGGGGAAAGGGCCGAGTGAGCCCAGAGGAGCTGAGTTTCTACTCTGCTCAAGGTGGACCTGGTGCTGGGAATGGGCTCAGCCATGCCCCTCCGATGCTGACACCCAGTGCACCTTGACATAGTGCTGCCTAAAGGAGAGGCAGGGGACAGGCTGCTGCCCTTCACCACGGGATTGTTGGAGAAATCAGGCAGACCTGCCCTTCCAGAGGTTTCCTTCGCCTTGCATGCTGGCTCTGGGCTGCATGGTGAGGCTCACAGTTCCTGTCGGAGTATTTGCACAGTTCACCAGAGCCACTGGGGTCTTTCTTTGAGTGGGGCAAAGTTTGGGGTTGTGGTCATTGCTGATGACGTCCCCTGCCCCGTGTGTAGTTCTGTGTGCAAGGCTGCACTCCCCAGCACTGGCCGCGTGTGACCATACTCTGCCACTCACTGTTAACACCTCATGTGGGAAACTCATTAAAACGTATGCCTGTGGTTGGTTGATACAGTGTCTGCATTTCACTTACTGCACATGGCATTGCGACACTCCTGCAGAAGCAGAGGACACGGGCCCAAGGCCCAGCTTGGTGCCCATGCAAGGAACAGTCCTGGCATGTGGGACTTAGAGCCATGTGTTCCTGAACTGTCAACTGTTCAAAACTCATCAAATCCAGCCATTTGGTAAACACTATCATCTGGGGACAAAAACGGTGCTTGCAATTCTGGTGTGAATCATATTGGTCCCCTTTAGCACATGCTGCTTCTGCCACCTGCTCCTGGCCCTTGGGACTAAAACATCCCCTGAATTGTATAGCTGCAGACTCAGTCAAAACTCAGGAGGCACATGAACTCAGGCTTGTGTTTACCCAAAAGGACCTGAGAACTGCAGGACATGAGCTCTGTCATGTCCTGGCCTCAGTATGTGCAGGTCGTGCAATGCTGGCACTGTGAGGCCTCCTCACATCCTCGGCACCCCCTGTGCACCTTGGTGGCAGCACCAAGAGGGATTTGTGGAGTCTGCAGCACAGCCCTAACCCTTACAGCAGCCACACGTCTCCGTACTTTGCTTTTTTTTAGGGCAGGTTCTGACCACGACTTGATCCTGCCACCCATCAGAGGGTTCAAAACCAACCGTTTAAGCTTAGTTGCTTAAACCAAGGTAATAGCTCAGCAGGTGACAGCAGACATGTAAATAACAGCTTGTGTTCCTAATGTTCTTTATATCCTGACTCATTCCCACAAGAAAGGCTTTGAGGCAGCTCACACAGACAAGCAGAATAAAAAAGGATGACGACCAGCCCAGGTAGAGCTGTCACATCTCAGGCAGCCATGGGAACAGTCCTTGCTGCATGATTGTCAGGGGCTGTGGGGTGTGACAAAGCCAGGAGAGCAGTGCATTTCAGTGACTCAGGCTACAGTTACCCAAAAAGAGGCTATGAGGGGTGGTACGGTGTGTCCCAGGGTTGGTGGTATCCTTTAGGCAGTGCTCGGGGACCACCACTCACAGCTGAGCTACTGATGTGTATGCAGTTGAAAACAGACATCCCCTGGTTAGACACCAGGAGTCGGGCAGACCCTGGTCAGAAGGGAGATTAAAGGTTCTGTCATAAATTGACCTGAGGAGGAGCTGTTTATCCCTGGTGTGGAAAAGGTGTATGTTTTCCAGACCTGAGGGTTGCAGTAGGTAGCTCCTAAGGGGCTTCAGAACAGAGGGGGTGTAACCTAGGCCACCCTCTGGGCCTCCATGGTTGCTGATGCTGGGCCTAAGACCTTGCAGAAACAAGCAGGTAAACTAGACCTCCGTGCCCCTGGTGAATTTCCGAGTTGCCAAGACTAGAAAATTCCACAGCCTGAGGACCGAGGGCAGGAAGGCTAGGCGTCAGGAGAGGCGGAGTCCAGGGTGGGCTTAGCCCTCTGATCTGGAGGCTGCAAAGCGTGGCAAGACATACCCGATGCAGGGCTCCAAACGCCCTTCTCCCCAGGGCTGGGGAACCACACACGTGGGCAGCAGCTGCAGGTTGCTGGGTTGACAAAAGCAAAAGCCCCAGTGAGTGAATGAGGTGATGTTTGGAGCACACGTCGCTTCAAGCGGCTCCAAACGTGAGTCCCAGACCCATAATGGAAGCCCTTTCCTGAGCGGTGAGGGTCTGTGTGCGGTGACGGGACCCCATGCCCATCAGCTACGTGGCAGCTGGGGAGAGGGTCTCCCGGCCAGGAAGGGTCCCGCCTGGAAAAGCCAAGTTGTTCCCCACCACAAAGACATGCCCTTCCCTGCCCCTCTGCGGGGGATCCTGACATCTGGAAGGAGGGGGAAATAAGTGGCCTTCAGAGCCACAGCTCCCACACAGCTACGGGCCAGGCTGGGCTCTGAGTGACTGGGCTGAGGACGGTGGGAGTGTGAACACGCCCGGGTCTGCAGGTGGGGCACCTGGCAGGGCAGGAGGCATCACTGGCTCTTCTCACTGTAGAAACAACAACATACCACCACCACGATTTTATTCTTAAATAAATGCTCAGTCTAAGGCCGGGTTACACAGACAGGTGGGTGGAATGGGAGGAAGTGCAGATCCTGGGCACTTCCCCGCTGTGGGTGAGCAGTCTGCCCAGAGGAGACAGGGATGGCTGAGGAAAGCAAGCGGGTACACAGGGCAGGAGGGGACCATTGAGCCACTAGAGTCCATTCTGCATGTGCCAGGAAGGGGCAGAAAGAACCCATTTCCCCACATTCTCCACGGGTGGTCCCAAGTCCCCAGCCCCCCTGCCTGAGCTCCCCATGCCCAGCTCAGGAAGTTGGGATTGAGCAAGTAACAGCTGGCTGCTCTGTCACCAAGTCTTCCCAACAAGAGCTGAGGCTGAGTGGCAGCAAGAGGGAGCAAGGGTCACATGCCCGTCACCCGCATTTCTCGCTTGGATCCATGTTCCAGGCTGCCGGGCACTGCACCCGCCCTGGCTGGCATCTGAGTCTTCTTTCCAGGTGCAGCTGGGCTCCTGAGCACTGCAGTTGCTGGCACCCTGGGACTCTGTGGTGCCAGGCTGCTGACTGGAAGAAAAGGGGAGGAGGGCAGAGGTCTTCATGCTTCCTTCACTTGGCCAGACTCAGTGCTGGCGCTCGGGTTCTGACTTCCCCAGAAATTCCCTAGACCAGAGGAGGACAACATGAGCAAAATCATTGGAGCTCGTATCAAAGATCCCATGTCCCACAGTCCTCAAGCACCCCGTCTGAGGACACAGCAAAGAACCGCGTGAGGACTGAGCTCTTGCACAGAAAAAGACTCAGTAAGCCAAGCAGGGCACCAGCGGCATTGGCACCAAGTCAAATCCCAACATGTAGGAACAAAGACAGGGTGAGGGGCCTCTATGCTTTATTTGGTCTAAATTTTCTGTAATACATTCTTTATAATGGGGAAAAACTACAACTCCAAAGCAAACCTGCGATTCTTTTCACCTCAATGACCCCTCTCAGCAACCAAGGCTCCTGTGGCAAGGAGTGGCATACCTCTAAAAGAAACAATGCTTTGCCTCTGGAACTTTCAAAGGCAGCTAGAGAAGAGCTGAATTTTAAGTACAGTTGCACATAGGATACACCTCATTGGGAGCTGATACAAGCAACCAGTGTCACCTATAGGAAGAAACTGGCATCTTGACTACTTTTCAGAGCCTACTGGTACAAAACAGCAAAAATAACCACCACTGTTAACAATCTCCAGTGCCAGGGTCGAAGCACTGCTCAGCAGCCCAAGGAAGGCACACTCTCCCTGTCTCAGGCACAGAGAGGTTTAGCATCTTGCTCAAAGCACACAACCAGGTAGTGGTGGGTGTGACCTGCATCCTTTAACGCAGAGGTGGGTGAAGCTGGGTGGCGACCTGTATAGAAGCCTGGCGCGGGAGGGGGGGGGGTTCCTTTTCCCAAACTCTGCCCTTTGTCACCACTGCCAAGGTCTCACCCTCATGCTTGGGTTCTGCACCCAGGCCCATATGGGTGCCCACGGCTCTCTGAGCTTCAACCCATGTCCTGCCCAAGATTCTGGCCAGTGCAAGGCAGCCAGGAGCACAGCCTCAACTTCAAGAAGCAGCTGGAGACAAACAGGCTTTTTTGAGGGGCTCACCCAAGGCCAAGATGTGTGCAGGGTCAGTGACCTGAGAGGCATGTGGGAAGGGATCTGAGGCCTGCCCAGGAGTGGCTGGGGTGTGTCTGTGTGCTCCTGCACACATCTGTGTCTGTGTGTGCTTCTGTGCATGTCCACTGGGTCTGTACAACCTTGCTGTGGATTGACTGAATTGCATCCCCCAAAGTTTATATATTAGAAGCTTAATCCCCATTGTAACTGTTGAGGGTGGGAAATCCTATTATGGTAATTGAAAGGTGGGGCCTTGAGCAGGTGATTAGATTGTAGGACTGTGCCTTAACAAGTGCATTAATAATGGTGGTCAGGGGCGTGTTTCTGAAGGCTTTAAAAGGACGGGAAATCCTATTATGGTAATTGAAAGGTGGGGCCTTGAGCAGGTGATTAGATTGTAGGACTATGCCTTAACAAGTGCATTAATAATGGTGGTCAGGGGCGTGTTTCTGAAGGCTTTAAAAGGAGAGCACATGAGAGTCTCTCACTGTTCCACTATTTTCTGCCAAGTGAGACCCCTGCATTGCTGNCCCCTGCATTGCTGTAAAGCCACCACCAAAGAAGACCCTCACCAGATGTGTTCCCTAGACTGGACTTCCTGGCCTCCAAAATTGTAAGCAATAAATACTGTTTCTTTGTAAATTACCCAGTTCCAGGTATTCTGTTATAAGCAACAAAAACAGACTAATCCAAACCTGGAGAACAGGGAGGTCATCCACCCTGTCTGACTATGGAAGCAGTCCAAGAGAGAGGGGAGACAAACTCACGCCCCTCTGGGATGGAAATGGAAGGTTCTCCAGTCATTGTGACTCTGGGCCTCACTGAACCTCTCAAACAGCTTCAGTGGCTGCCACCTGCTGCGTGCCTAGGCCTGAGCCACTGCTGCCCAGCTGAAGTTGCCAAGTAGGAAGAAAACATCTCACCTTAGAATCCGTGGAAGCTCAGGGCTCTTGTAGATGTACTTGTGACCATAGCCAAGGTCTGAATGAAAGGGGACAAACTGAACTTTAAAGTCTCGGAAGCTTCGAGATGGTGCAGCAATGTTGTAGAGCTGAGGAGAGGGAGACAGGTCAGATCCCAGAGTCAGTGGTCTGGCACAGAGGACTCCCCTTCAACAGAGACCAGTCAGTGGCTGCTTCCTCCAAAGAGCAGCCCAAGTTCCCATGCACAATGCTTCTGCCACTGTGGCCTGTCATGGCTGGTGGCCTTGAGGTGGGCTAGCAGGAACCGGACCCTAGGCTGGGCTCCTCGGCTTGCCCACCGTTCAAATCCCTCTCTTTCTCCTTACACCTGCCTCAGGGGAGCAGCAAGATGGACAAGCCAGCCCAAGTGCTGAGGGAAGCCCCAGTGGCAGGGACGGCACAGTCACAGGGGCTAGGATGGAGGGTGTGGGCCTCCTGGGTCACAGACCAATCACAGACCCGGGTATTCCCGGGTCAAGGCCAATCAGCAAGCTGCTCACAATGCGTCCCATCTCAGCCCCTCCATCCCACCCCTGATGGCCCAGGGTGTGTGGGTCTGAGTGGTGTGTTGCTGGGCGGTTCTGTGTCCCCTCTGGGCTTACCCTGCCCTCAACAGTGCCAGGACCCAGGTGGTGCTCTCTCTGCTCCATGCTTACCCACAGCAAAGTTAAAGCGAATTCAGCAAAAGCAACTGCTGAGTCCTCATAGACAACACGGTATTCTTTTATCAGCCTACTACCAAAGGCAAGAAAACAGACTAGACATTTATGTATCAGTTCTACTGACTGGGACCCCTGAATTGGGGTGGGAGATCCTCATCAAGGGGTTCAGCCAATACCTGATGAGTCGTCCCAGCTGAGGCCCAAGTTGCCCTGGGCTCTGATAACACAGGCAGCCCACCCTGAGAAGGACCCCTGTATGGGGACCTGAGAGCCATCTGCTTATTTCCCATAGTTCCTCTTGTGGACGCCATCAGGGGTCTGATCCCCACCACACCCCTGCTACCAGACTTCCCATGCCCTTCCCAGGTGGCCTGGAGGTGACACAGGGAGGATGAGGTAGTCTTCCTAAGCCTGATGTGGCCCATGCCCACGCCATGGGGCAGACGCAGGCATCTCCTTCCTGCTGGCCCATGCCCATACCTGACCCATCCCACCAGGGGCAAAGGCCCTAGGATACCCACCTTTCTGCCGAGCTGGAAGGGCACAACGGGGTCATCCTCAGCATGCAAGATGAGCAGGGGACAGGAGATGTGCTTCACACTGTGGAGGGAGAGGGGGCTAGACCAAGACCAGGGGAAGGGCAGCAGTGTCTGGACCCCTTGGGCAGCGGGAAGAACCTGGGTTTAGGGTATGTTTCACCATGGAGCTTAGCCCAAATTTTGCCAGGCTTCTTCTTACTAGAGAACTAAAAGTTAATTTCTTAGTTGTTTCTATCAAGATCTATTCCAGCTAGGTGATAGGTGTCAATCAAACCTAAAGATCAATTCATTCACCAAAATCTGGCCCTAGCATAGTTTCTGGAAATTGAAAATGATTATTTTTTTGCCAATTGACATATTCTTTAAAAGTTAGAAAACAATATTTATAAGATGAATAATTCAGGTGGACCAAGAAACTTATTGCAAATGAATGTTACTATGCATCTTTTCGTAAAAAAAAAAAAGTCAATGCCCTCTAATTTATCTTTGGTGTAAATGACATTTAAGGTTGCTCCAGCTCTGAAGGTTTACAAGTAAATTAAATTTTCAGGGCTAGCCAGTTAGCTCAGCTGGTTAAAGCACGGTGTTATAGCACTTATAAGGTCAAGGGTTCAGATTCTTGTACCAGCCAGTTGCCAAATAAAAAAATAAACAAAAATTGTCAGTAGGTTCAATACATCTAAATCCCCTCAGCAAGCCTAATACTGGAGGGATAGGCTGCCAGGACTGAACGGGTCCTGCGGTCTCCTGGTCAGCCCCTCACTGATGTGGCCACCTGACCCGTGTCTCCATCCTGACCCAACAGCTGTGTGCTCTGTGAGCTGAGTGCTGGTGCGACCCTGGCACCTGGAGCAGGACTTGGGCCAGGGAAGCTCATCCACCCACGCCTAGCGCCTGTGCAGTCTGCGCCTCTGCTCGTGGTACACACGACTTGCTCTTGCTTCTGACACGTGAATCCCTTTGACCTAAGGCTTCTGGAGAAAGCGGCAAGTATTTGGTACAGACCACCACCCACCTGAGCTCAGGGAGAGCGTGTCTCCTGCCCATGAAGCCAGGCCCTGCCTTCCAGTGCTGTGAGGGCCCTGGTCCCGTGGAGGTGGTACTGTGGCCAGCCGCACTCCACCCGGCTCAGCTGGGAGGGTCAGCGCCAAAGGTGGCTTCCCTGGGCACAGTACTCATTTTTCTTTTTAAAGAAGAATCTAGTTTATTTAGATAATTCTTTATGTTCCAAAACAATAATATTTCAAACAAGCAGGATTTTCTGCTTACAATGTTTGCTTAAATTTTAATTTGTTCTATTTTTATTTTTAGAATCAAACACGTCCTTGAAGGGAAAAAATACTCCATTTTATCATATCCTGTTTCATGGTTATGTGTTAACAGAATTATTTAGGTAAGGGTTTTCATTTATGAAGAAGTTAAACTAAATGAAAATATAACAAAGACAATGTCGACAGAATCTGAAAGTGGTTTAAAAAGAGTCCTTAACTAGAATATTTAACTTTTGATTTACCTGATAGAAATATTTTTAATAAACTTTGTAATATCTTTCCATACCAAACATAAATCCAATGGCTGAGGCAAAGTCAATTTTTGAAAACAGAATCTGAAAGTGGTTTAAAAAGAGTCCTTAACTAGAATATTTAACTTTTGATTTACCTGATAGAAATATTTTTAATAATCTTTGTAATATCTTTCCATACCAAACATAAATCCAATGGCTGAGGCAAAGTCAATTTTTGAATAACACTTAATATCACTGCTTCAATACCTGTACAGGAGTTCTGGCTTAGACAGACTATTTTCAATTAAAACAATTATATGAACAAAAAAAATACAGGCTATTTCAATATTGCTTTAATTCTATAGTCTTTTCAAATTCCTTATTCTTTCCATTGCAGCTCTTTGCCTGACTTTCCCTTTTAAAGATGTTTGTTAGGAACAATCATTAAGTATCTAACTTCTACCCCATGTAGTTAATGTGACTAAGGAGGCTCATCTTAGGACTTTTCAGTGTTTCTCTAAATTGAAGAAATAGTCACTGTACCACAGTACTCACTTTTCATCATTTGCAAACTTAATTCCACTGCTTGTAATGGGATCAAGGAAGAACCAATCAAACCCAGGGAAGTATCGATATACCTGAAGACAAGATGGAAACCATTTGCAGAAGCGTTAGTTAAGACATCTGTGTGGAAGGCAAAGATCAAGGGTTCAAACAGTTCAAGTTCAGGGATGTACAAGGTGTTACCCACAACTACCAATCCCTAAGGGAGTAGGGGCAGTGGGCAGACAGGGGGTCACCAGAGATGTGCTCAGGGCACCCCCACCCCTTCTTTGTCCTGGCTTTGTTGCTGGGGACAGAAGACCCACCTGTGAGGCCCCACAGACTGGCCATGGCAGGGGCTGCCCTACACAAGAGGCCCCCACACTTCGGAGTCCACCCAAAACCAAATTTTCCACAGACACCAGGGCTGCAACCCATGGGACAATGGGGGTCCATGGCCATTGTAATCACGCGATTTCACAGAAAAGCAACATCAAAAAAGCAAGACAAAGTGAAGGGCTCTTATGACATGCAGTAGAGCAGTGGAAATCAGGAAGGATGGACTGACACAGAGGCCCAGAGCCCATGGAATGAGGCTTTCCCATCAGGAATGAGATGGGAAGGAGGGGAAGATACCTGGCCAGGTCTTCAGAGGCTCCAAGGGCTTCAGTGCCCTTTAGGGGCTTGACCTGCCCTGAAATCCCCACCAGGGTTTATTGGGGTTCACTCAGGGACACAACTGGAGCAAGAATCCCAAGCACCGTCCATGCACAGAGAGCAGTAGGTACCCACTCCTGATGAGGTAGCCCAGCTAGCAGCCCTGGCCAGGGCTGAGCCCCACGGTGGCCACGCAACGTAGGCAAGGCCTTCTGAGGGTCCAGCTGCCCTGAAACAACCCAACTGTGAACCTTTCCTTCTACCTGGCTACAAAGTTATAAACGACCTGGGCAGCTCTGTAGGCAGGCCAGGGCCTGGAACTGGGATTAATTTTTAATAAAATCTATATTCATTAGAATATTTAAATAATGCTTTTTATAATTATTATTTTTATTTTGTAATTATTTACCTATAGTTATTTTAATATTTTATAGTAATTATTTTACTAAAAATAAATTTTTAATAAAATCTGTACTTGCCACTGAAAACGGATGGCTTTTAGCTTCTTCGCAGATATTAGTGAATGGAGATTCCAATATAAGGGCATCTGGAGGTGTCTCTAGAGAAATAAAACACCAGGAACTATGAGATGGGGAAGAAGCTGGTGACACAGTCACAGGCCATGGTGCTCTCAGAAGCCCAGGTGGACGCTCTGTGGGAGGGACCCCACATAGGACAGTGAACCCAGGTGCCCACCCTGCAGGCTTCCCAGTGTAGTCAGCCAGGTGCAGGAGGTGCCCACGAGGGGGACCCGAGGTGGCTTCGTGAGGAGCCAGGCTCTGGTCAGCCCAGGTGTGCCCAGGGCCTTGTCCTCCACACCCAGCACGCCATCACTGCACTGCTCAGCTGCCAGCACCCACTTCACAAGAACTCGTGCAGGGGCTGGGGCGTAAGCGCTGCACACCTCACTGTCGTGGCAGGGATCCCTCACCTCGCTCACAGAGGCGTCGCGCCAGATTTGTTGCCACTCTGGGAAGAAAAAAACACAGTTTAGTTGAACTTTGACAAAAATTGTTTTAGATGAAACCCTCTTAACACTGGAAAGTGCCCAGAGAAGCTGTGGGATCTGCAAAGCTTCTGGTGGGACTTCAGGGCAGAAGGGGGGGGGAGGGTGTCAGCTACCCTGGCCATCAGCTGACCCTTCCACAAAGGTGGCGACAACAGTCCTGACCCACCTGGATCAGCCTGCCCTAGGCTGCCCAGTGCCCTCCCTTCAGCTCTCACCACAGTCGGTGCAGGGACAGTTGGGAAACTGCAGGAGGACCTACCATGACACCAGGCTGCACCCGCCTCCTGCACCCCTACCCCCCCGTCAGTTGGAGGAGGCTGGGCTCTGCCTGCACATTCCTGGAAGTGGCTGCATTTGGAGCCCACCGGGCCCAGGGGCCTCTTGCTGTGCCAAGACCACACCTGGTAGCTCCCTGTACACAGTCACCCATGGGGGATGGGCAAGGTGCCTTTCTGGGGACACCCTGCTCACTGTCCCCACAGGGGCGGGGGAGGCCCTGTCCTAGACACCTCCCCGCCTGCAGGACGCTGTCCAAATGAGGAGCAAGAGTGATGAGAGGGCCAAGCCCCTGTGGCTGAAGGAAAGGCAGCAGAGAAAGGGGGGCGCTGCCCAAGGTCTTGGGGTCGGGGCCTTGACAACAGCGGCTGCTTTTAGAAACACTCTGGAACTTGCATCAGCAGAAGCGATCTGGCTGCCCACAAGTGAAATGTTAAATGCTCCTGTCTTGGCAGATGTGGGAAGCCGACCACCCACTTCTCTCTCCTGTGCTCCCCGTAAGCTGAGCATGGGCTAAGTGGCCAAGTTGTCTGCAAACATCCCTAGTTTGCACGCTTGGACTTGAAGGCCTGCACACGCACTCCATAGTCACACCACGTGAAGCCCAAGGCACCGGAGAACGTGCATGCTGGCCACTTGTGTGCTGAAGGCACCTCCTCAGGGTGAATTCTCCCTGCCAGACCTTGACTGTCTGTCTGAATCACCTCTTGGGCTGAGGAGTTAAAGTAGCTCCAACCCTTGTGGTCTCTTGTGGTGCTTCACTCCAAACACCATGGGGATGGAGACAAGGCCTGTTGGACTAACAGTGCCACAGGATCCATGTGCGACCAGGGCACCCTTGAGGATGGTGGGCTCTCTTCAGATCCTGGGCTGGAGAGGGGCCCATGAATACCTAGTCCTGTTAAAGGCCACCTCCTCCTGGGAACTCTTACCCAGTGCCCAGAGAATGGCCCCAGATATACACGGGGTTGTCACCACTTCTTGCTTTGATCCAGTCAAAGACGTGGAGTGCATCATAGGTCATGCCCCGCTCAGACGGCGTTCCTACTGAGTCACCCCAACCTGGGAGAGAAAAACAGCAGGAGGAGGATGTGAAAGGCAGGGCCTGAAGCCGGGGGACACATGATAGTCAGAGCCAGGAGAGTCTACGGTCACACTCATACTGCGCAGGCAGTGCAGGAGGACCCAGCAGCGACCCTCCACTGTCCTCTGCTGACTGGATACACTAGAAGTCCTGTCACACAGTCACTCTAAGTTGGTGGGTTGAAAATTTGGTGACTAACAGAACAGCTGAGTTAATCAAATATGCCCCAGAACCTCAGACATATGGCCTGGCCAGAGGCTGCCCACAGATACCAGCATCCTCAAGGCCATGGCCAGTGGCTCTCCCCCTGCCCTCCTGACATCGATCTCCCAACACTAAAGGCTTGGTAGGGGATGGCCTGAGGTGGGATCTGACAGGCCCAGCCAGTGAGAACCCAGCCTGCTTAGGGGCCCTGCAGAAAGACCAGGACAGGGAGTGGGGACTCAGGAGGCTCCAGAAACAGAGGAGATTTCCAGGCTAACCCAGAAAGGAAAGGGGGTCTGCTTCACCTTAGGGTCCAATTAGCATCTAGTTTGCCTAACAGAGGAAAGGCAGCCATCTCAGTCCCCAGGTGACAACCCCAAGGGCCCCTCCCCAGGCTCCAGCAAAGGTCAAACACAATTGCCTTTTAGCAGTTCAGCAGTGAGTCATTGTCATATGATGTGAAACCACCACAAGGTTCAAAAGAGCCAGTTCTGCTGCGTAAGCAAATCCCACAGTCGGCGCACAGGACGGGCCACTACCAGCACCAGAGGAGGGAGGGAGTGATGCAGAGGGACAGAACAGGCTGAGGCTCAGGCCACACAGTGGGAGGCAGGGACACAGGAACACACGGGGACAGAGAAACAGGGTCAAGGAGACAGATACAAATAGAAGCAAAGAGACAGGGACAGAGAGNTCTGCTGACTGGATACACTAGAAGTCCTGTCACACAGTCACTCTAAGTTGGTGGGTTGAAAATTTGGTGACTAACAGAACAGCTGAGTTAATCAAATATGCCCCAGAACCTCAGACATATGGCCTGGCCAGAGGCTGCCCACAGATACCAGCATCCTCAAGGCCATGGCCAGTGGCTCTCCCCCTGCCCTCCTGACATCGATCTTTTTGGTGACTAACAGAACAGCTGAGTTAATCAAATATGCCCCAGAACCTCAGACATATGGCCTGGCCAGAGGCTGCCCAGAGATACCAGCATCCTCAAGGCCATGGCCAGTGGCTCTCCCCCTGCCCTCCTGACATCGATCTCCCAACACTAAAGGCTTGGTAGGGGATGGCCTGAGGTGGGATCTGACAGGCCCAGCCAGTGAGAACCCAGCCTGCTTAGGGGCCCTGCAGAAGGACCAGGACAGGGAGTGGGGACTCAGGAGGCTCCAGAAACAGAGGAGATTTCCAGGCTAACCCAGAAAGGAAAGGGGGTCTGCTTCACCTTAGGGTCCAATTAGCATCTAGTTTGCCTAACAGAGGAAAGGCAGCCATCTCAGTCCCCAGGTGACAACCCCAAGGGCCCCTCCCCAGGCTCCAGCAAAGGTCAAACACAATTGCCTTTTAGCAGTTCAGCAGTGAGTCATTGTCATATGATGTGAAACCACCACAAGGTTCAAAAGAGCCAGTTCTGCTGCGTAAGCAAATCCCACAGTCGGCGCACAGGACGGGCCACTACCAGCACCAGAGGAGGGAGGGAGTGATGCAGAGGGACAGAACAGGCTGAGGCTCAGGCCACACAGTAGGAGGCAGGGACACAGGAACACGGGGACAGAGAAACAGGGTCAAGGAGACAGATACAAATAGAAGCAAAGAGACAGGGACAGAGAGAGAAAGATAGAGAGAGTGTGAGAGATAGAGTGTGAGAGACAGACAGAGAGACCAAGACAGTGAGAGAGACAGAGAGAGGGGCAGAGAGAGAGACAGAGGACAAAGAAGGATTGAGAGTGAGAAAGACAGGGGGGAGGAGAGAGACAGGGACAGAGAGAGAGAAAGGAGCACAGAGAGGGAGACAGAAAGAGATGGAGGCAGGCAGACTGGGACACAGACAGAGAGACCGATGCAGGACAGACACAAAGGGACAGACAGACTGAGTTAGAGGTGGAGCCAAGTGGTCTCGTACCACTTAGAAATGAAGACTCCAGAAGAACTGAAAGGAGAAAGTGCTGTGCGGGAGGTGAACAAGGAAGACGCCCCTTCTCATTATCCTATGGGCTCTATCTTGTAGCAGGAAGGAAAAAACCTTTTCAGCATGGAGAAAAAGATGAGATGGTGAACTACTTTCCAGCTCCTCATTTTGGCATTTTTCTCAGCCCAAAACTTTCATCCTGACAGAACCTTCCTCCATGAAAGAGCCAGCCCTGTGGCTGGCAGAATGGTGGACTCCAAAGAGGCCCATGTCCTAATCCCTGGAACCCGCAAACATGTTAGATTACATGGCAGAGGGAATTATGGTTGCAGAAGGAATTACACTGCTAATCAGCAGATCTTGAGGACAATCCTGGATTATCTGCGTGGGTCCAAAGTAATCACAAGGATAAGTGAAAGACAGGGCAAAAGTCAGTGTCAGAGTGATGCAGCCCAAGACTCAGTGGGCCATTGCTGGATTTGAACATGGGAGGGGCCACAAGCCAGGGAATGTGGGCAGCCTCTAGTAGCTGCAAAAGGCAGGGCAACAGATTCTCTCCTAGAACCTCCTGAAGGAACCAGCCCTGCTAACACCTTCATTTAGCCCAGTGGCTAAAAATGTTGGACTTCTGACCTCCAGAGAGGCAAGATAATAGATCTGTATTGTTTAAGACCCTACATTTCTGGTAGTTTGTTACGGCAGCAAGAGGAAACTCATATGCCCCACATTCAGCTGCCAGGTGCCTCCTCCATGCCTGCCTGCCCCTGAGTCTGAGGATACCCACACCCCCGCCCTCTTCCCAAAAGGTCAAGGCAAGCCAGCCCAGCAGCCTTCATCCCTTTGATCTCTCCAACTGAGGACTATATGGAGGAATATTCTTTTAAAGCAGTTGCTCAATGTTAATACAGCGTATTTCTGTTGCTTATTGAGGTGGAATGTTCTAAGTATAATCAAACTGTGGATTCTTGATCTGTTCAGTGGTAAGCCCTGATTCATTTAAAAAAGAAAGAAGAAATGCTGAGGGGACAGAAAAAGAATCTATCTTCTCTCTTAACAGTTCTTTTTCCTGTTTTCACAACTTTTAGCAAGTATTAAACAAGGCCACTGTTTTGGACTGAGCTCCTACACTAGGCCCAACAGACCAGACCAAATCAAAACGGAGTCTCATCATGCTAAATGCCTCATGATCAAACTGAAACTTGAAGGAAGCAAACACACCAGTGTTTCCTGAAAACAAGAGATTCCAGTCTACCTGAGTCAGTGTAATACGGATGTCCCCTCTCCTCTAACCCTTATAAAAAAGTAACCTGAATTAAAAGATGTTAACCAGTTTTTTTTTCTGTTGTTCTGTTTCCTTGTTCCCACCTTACAAAACCCACTGTTCTGCTACTGCCAGAGAGAGCTCTCCCCCCGTTTAGTAGAATCGAAGCCACTCTGACTCACGAATTGCAAATAAAAGCCAATTGGATCTATAGCTAAATTTGTTGTAATTTTTTCTTTTGACACAAGCTCCACTGAGCATAAAACATCTGCTGGAAAAGTCTGAGTACAGTAAAGAAAACAGACAGTATTTTCTGCATTTAAAATGTTGCTGACAGAGGGCATATGATTCCCCACCAAGAAGGGCTCCCTGGGGTCTACATCAGGGGGCTTCGTCAGGACCCACTGTCCTTCCCCCACCTTAACACAGTCACTACCACCACAGGTCACGGCACAAGGTGATGCTATGAGAGAGGCAGGAGTGTGTTCAGATGTACTTTCAAAGGAAATCTCACCTCTGTAGTCAAAGGTGACCACGTGGTAACCAAGGGAACTCAGCACCTGTAAAGTGAAAAATAAATATCTTTGGCAACAAATCCAAGCATCTTGTGTTGAGGGTAACTTTCCTCTTACTGAACCCGTCCAGATTTCTGTCTGTGTGCCCTGCACACAGTGGGAACTTCATAAAGAAAATCACCATTCTGCCTGATTCCTGACTGGCTCTTATAACACTCAGATTACAAGCGCTGCTACAGGACCCACTGACTTCCCCTGCTTGGCAAATGCAGCAACGGTGTCTCTCCTGCTGCTTAGATGGCTATGGTAAGGCCCCTACACTTCCCAGGATGGCAGCTCCACATTCGCACTGCAGGGTGGCCTCAGAGTCAGCCTCATCTGGGGGCAGATAGCTCTTTGGTGCTGCCAGTGGACTTTAATAACCACCCAGCACAACAGTGGACTCCCAGGAGGAGGACTCTGCAGCACAGAAACTCCATCTGGGTGCCCTTATTACAATCCAGCATTTCTCAGATTTTTAGCTGTTGTTGAAGTTTATCTATCATTAAAAAAAAAAAAAAATCCCTATAGACTTAGCTGACCTCTCTCATTTGGATCACTACTCACACGGCCTGCCCCCGGGCACTGGCTGGGGTGTGCCCAGAGCCATGTGGAAGGCTACCATGCCACCTCCCTATAGACTTAGCTGACCTCTCTCATTTGGATCACTACTCACATGGCCTGCCCCCGGGCACTGGCTGGGGTGTGCCCAGAGCCATGTGGAAGGCTACCATGCCACCACTGTCACCTAGCAGCCCACTGAAGGGCAGCCCATGCTTCTTGTCAACGCCCAGCCCCTATAGAGACTGCAGCTAGAGCCACAGCTGACCTCAGCAGGGGCGAATCATTTCTACTAACAAACCTCAAACGAGGACCAATCACTTCTCAGGCATGCCCCTTTCCTGATTTGATCCAATTTACTCTAGGGGAAAAAACCTCCAACAGCCCAGAGCTAGATGTACCCACACATCTGTTTACATTCCTTTGTGCCCTGTTTGCAAATGCAGACATCCCTCTGAGAGGAGGAGAGGGAGGCAGGTGGGGTGTCTCAGGCTCCAAGGCCCAAACACCCCAATGAAGAACAAAACCATGCTCGAGTGAAAGTGCACGTGCCCTGCCCCTGCCATGGGGAGACCTACAGGCACTTCTTCCACCAAGTCTGCCTGGAACTCACTAACGTCCACATGTACCTCCTACTGGAGGTGAGCCTGCACCTCGGCAGTAAGCATGGCTCCTGGAGCAAACAGTTTTCTCTTTTCATTTTTAGGCAAGTAACGCAAATTTAAAAACAACTTCAAATGCCTTTTACGTAAGTAGCCAATACCAGGCATATGATCCAAAGTCCATACATTCTGATTTTGGATACTGGAGGTAGCAGCACAATGGGAAGAACCATGGCAGAATCTGCCAGGCACTGTCTTCCAGCACGTCCACCACAGGCAGTGTTAAAAGGTCTAACAATGATTAGCTTTCAAAATTATTGCTTAGGATGACTCCCTTCTGTTCCTGACTCCTGGAAGGAACAGCCAGGAAAAAACACTCACCTTGTAAAGCTCCACTCGGTGGTCACCTCCTCTGGGGCGTGGGGAAGAAGAAACAGGAAGTGGGTGTTAGTGCATTTCTCAGAGTCAGCCTCAGGTCAGTCCTAGAGAATGTGGAACCTTTATAACTTGGTCCTCCAAGACCCACACCAGAGAGGGGCCGATGGTGGACGAGTGACCCCCTCCTTTGGTCCCCCTAAGTGGCCCCAAGCTTGCCTCTGGAAGTACCATGTCAAGGAAGGGACAGTCTTAGCACTTTGGGTAGATTTCTTAATTATTGCTTTTACTTCCATCAGGGTCCCCCCGTCCCACCACTTCCTAGCATCCAGGGACCACCTGAGATGACGGAAGCTGTGTATCCGATGGGGCCCAGCACAGGCACCTTCTGCACCCCACTTCTCACATCTCAGCTGCCTTGCAGCACTGCTCTGCTTCGCAGTGGCCCCTGTTCTCATCTCATCATCTCAGCTCTTCCCCACCTGCTGCTACTACGTATGCTGCCATGGCCAGCCTGCACTGGCCTCCCTTTCTATACGTGTGCCCCACGCGTGGACATGCTCCTGGACATGGAGGCATGTGCAATCATGACTTTCACCACTGTTGCTGAGTCTTTCATCAGGAGACCCTCGCCTCTTGCCAGAGTGTGTGGGAACAGCTGTCTCCCAGGACCCTGCCAGTAGACTAGAGTTTTACTGGACATATTACTGATTGAATGTGCTTTGCACACATCTGTTTCACATGCTTATACTTCTTTGAGAACTCTCTGTGTTCCCTTCCCACTTTTTGTCTCACTGCTGGCCAGCTGTTATGTGGACAGACCCCACAGGAGGGACAGTGGTTACCCAGGAGAGGAGGGCATGTCAGCAGGTGGGGCAGGGTGTGAAGGAGGCCCACCCTCTCCATACTTCTCAGCTGTTTTCCTTCCTTTATAACAATTATTTTGACCATTTCAGGTATACAGAGGAGTGCTGTTGGGGGAGACAAGGATGAGATGAAGAGGCAAACCAATACAATGCAGAAACAAAAATACAAAACAGTGAGTTTCAAGACTGGGAGGAAATACAGCAAATTATTTTCAGTTATCGGAAGAGTTCATGGTGTCTCTTCTATAAATTTTACAAATTCCCTACATTTAGCAAAATGTAAGACGGGCTGAGGGCCCAGGAGGTCAGGACTTTGGGAAGACCTGGGTACTGTGATCCTGCAGGACAGAGCCCGCGACTGTCAGGGGCCACATGGGGGATTCTGGTCAGAGAAGGGGCTCAGAGAGCAGGGATGAGGCCCTCGAGAGGTGGCAGATGCACAGACAACATGGGGGTGGCAGTCTCGGGAGTGAGACGGGACAGTAAACTTCTGAAAGTCACAACATTCCTTTCAAACCTGAAGTTATAGGCAGATTTTGTCTTTTTTTTGCAACGTGATCCACACTGTAGAACTGAACATTATTTGCACCAAGTATACACTTTTCTCATTTAGAGAAAGATGGTATAAGAGCTGTCTGTAGCCACTCGCTCTTTGACAAGCAGAAGAGAAGCCAGCTGCAGCTTGTCCCAGACGAAGAAGAAAGCCAGCTGCGCAGCACACACTGATCAATAGCTAAGCGCACGGCTCCAAGCACAGAAGCTGTCCTCGTGAGCCATGATCTGGACTCTGGCGCAACACCCTCTGCACAGCTCTGCCATGTACACACCCACTGAGGCCCGCCTTCCCCTCCAGAAAGTCCGTGCATTGTTCTCCTTGCTGGTTCTGCCTATAAAACATCCACCCCGCAGCCCTGACACTGGCCCTGCAGTGGCCGGGCCTCCCTGCCAGCTCCTCCCTGGCTCTTCCACGGCCAGCCTAAGGAGGTCTCTGAAACACTGACCCAGCAGTTTTCAAACAATGCTTTACTCAGAGAACGCATCTTCCCTCCTCCGCCCACCCCCAGGCCCTCCCACAGAGGCTCTTCTGAACAAGGATCACATGGTGTGGCAGGAGCTCCATGCTGTGCTTAAGGCAAGGAGAGTAATGCCAGTTCAAGCCAGTCTGAAGGCCGAGACTGTAGACGCGCTCACTCACGGAGAGCATCTAGGATAAAACCGTTCAAGCCTTGATCTGCCGTAGAGAGTATGCTCTCCGTCAACAGCCCGTTTGGGTGCACTGACATTGTGGTTTCACACATGGGTGGGGGCTGCCTGAAAAGATGGACTCGTCCACGCATGCTCAGCTGGTGTCTCCTCGCTGCAGCCCTCTGCCTTCAGCCTCCCCCTCCTGCCCCTTCTCAGCACTCGCGGCCTTTTTTTCTAGAAGAGTGCCTCCTCTTGCCAGGGTTCACCTGTCTGCACCCTGGAGCTATCACACAAGTAACACAGACCTGCCTTCCAGTCCTTAGACAAGGTGACAGACACAGAGAAAACCAGCTGCAAGAGTTTCAGACACACAGTTTCCCCAAGCTGTGGCCAGTCAAGTGCTGTCGCAACTCTTCCTGCGTGACCACCACGTCCTCACTCTCTGAGAAACCTTGTTCCCAAATCACAGACCAGCAGACACTCTGCCCTTTGAAATTACAGTGGAAAGAACAAAACATCCCCCTCTGGCAGGAGAAGCTCCGACGCTCTGATAGAGACTTGGCCTCCTCCAACCCAACCCAAGGTGGAGCTCAGACAGGGGGTCTGCACCCAGCT